AAAATTGTTAATATAATATTTTTCCACTAAACCAAACAATGGCAATGGTATGGTCCTTTTCAGAGACAGCCCAGCAGAGGATTCTTGGGTAAGTGAGACCTACTTTGGCAGCTGATATATCTTCATTATGGTTTTGCCCATGAATAAAGGTTCCACTGAAGCGATGCCTTATCTGTATTTTCATCATAATTATCAATTTCCTTCTGCTTTGATCTGAAATTGATGTCCTTAGGTACTAAACACACATCCAATCCTTCGCTAAAATGGCTTTTTTCTAGCACTGGGACATTGCCTTCTTTAGACTCTGAAATCCTCATTCAAACCTTCAATTACTTATATTCTCTGCTGCATCAGGTACCCCACACCCATTACTCCCCTCCTTACCAGGCTTCACCATCTCCCAGTATTCCAGTGGTTTGACTTTAAGATCCATATTCTGACCTAAACTACTCTACTTTTTATAATACTTCACATGATACTGTTGAACGTTCATACTGAACATAATCTTTTACCATAAATCTCAGAGCAACATATTCTGTTTTGTTCATTCGCTTATGGACAAAAAACATTGAAGTTTAGAAACAATTCCAGGCTGCTCTGAATTGCGCAATGCCAAAATGTTAAAGTGAGCCATAAAGACTGAAAAAGTCAGAGCTTCAATGCTCGATCTGTGCAGTTAGTATATCTTAGGCACACTAACAGTGGACATGCTGCAATTAGCCTAGATTCATGGGTTCTTTTCAATGTGAAAGGCGCTATGTAAGTGTAAATTGTTGCTATTAGCGAGGAAGGGAAAAAAATGTCAGGGTTCCCACTCCCCATTGCTACCTCTGAATCCTGGAGGGAAAGTATTTTTGTTGTAAAGTTTCTGGACATTGGTTGACGACTCAACTGTGATGTCCTCATAGCCAGCTAGCACAGACTGTCTGGGCTCACACATGAATAATGGTCACTTGTTTGAGGTTCTGGTTTGGTGCTGGTGAAGCACTTGAAAATATTGCTCTTTGAAAAACAAATACACATTCTTGGTAGAGAAATGTGCCGTTGGATTAAATTATCTTCTAACACCAACACATACAATATTGTACAAGGAAAATCACAGTTAGCAATTGAAAGGCCTGTGGCTTTGCTTTATGCAAGCTATTTCATAGCATGCAGAATGATTGTGTGTCACCCCCATTTTTATGTTTGAAGCAGAGTAAGGTACTTCAAGCTAGCCTTACTAGGATTGGCTTAGTATTAAGCATTCATAACGCCCCATAGTTCAGTTGCTAAGTCACTAACAAATGTGAAATGGAATTTTAAAAAATGTGGTTACTCAATCCACAACTGTTTATGGGATACTGCTGTACGCAATTGACTGCTGCATTTCGCCCACAAAATGCACAAAGTGGCACATGTATGAAACTTAGCAAAGAGAGCAGGATATTGCTCAGCCCATAATGATTTGTTAAAATCCTATTCACACTCTTAACACTGGGAACATATGAAAACACAGAATGAGAAAAGGACTTTAGTTTTGGCTGATCAAACCCACCTACTGCTTCTGCTAACCACACAACCAACAACAACAATTTGCGTTTACATAATGCCCTTCAAGCAGGTAGTGTCCCGGAGAGCTTTATTCTATGCAGTGCATAGATAACCTTCACCCCACCCATTCCATCTTCTGGAGAGGATATTGTATATTGTCCATGAATCCCAGTTATAGTCATAAAAACTCCAGCATATCAATCCATCACACTATTCAAACCTTCCCTTCACAGCCTGCATCCACCCCTCCCCCTCTTCCACAACGACCCCAGGCCCCAGCAATGAGGAAAGCATTGTGTTGCGAATATTTGAATATTTCCTTTCACTCTACTCTGCATCCTCCAATGCTGTTCTCCAGCAGATATTTATTCAGTACTTGTTTTAAGGAGTTAAAATGACGCAGAATCTAACTGCTCTGTGACGGCTTTGTACAATCGCTGTAATTTAAGAAGGTAAGATGCTACCCTGCGTGAAGGGCGCAATATAAATGCAAGTTGTTGCTGTTCTGGTTGTTGTTGCGATGAGAAGCAGTTCTGAAATAGCCCGAAGCTGATCACATTCTCATTCTATCACATTCTCACCATTTATTCTGCAGCCAGAGCCACAACCCAGTGGCAACTGACAAGTGACTGCGCATGAACAAACTCACACATATGCAGTTTCAGTTGCAATCGCAACTTCATTTTGTGCATGTGTGTTCATTACTTGAGCCTTCAAAACAACCGATCTCTTCGGACCGGAGCCTTGTGCATTGAATTGAAGAAAAAAAATGTCTTTTCATGCAAATATCCAGCTCCATGGTGACACACTCTTGCCTGACCTGTCAAGCTAGTTTGCTGATGAGCTCCGAAACAGAACAAAGGAGACATCTGCCCTCTTGCTTTCTGCTCATTCCCACCCTCTTCATGCGTCAAAGCATTTAGACAAGAACATTTTCTGTAGGGTACACATTGGGCCTAATGTTTGAGCAGATTCAAAGCTCCTTGCAGAGCAGTAGGAGGTCAAGATCTTATCAAAAGTAAAGGTTTTAAAAATGCCCTCTGTGAAAGGCTGACGCGGACTTAATTTTCCTTGCTAGTGATTGCAAAGTTTTTTTCTAGTAGATGAGTAGATATGTGAAATTCAACTCCAATACAAAACATTAGATCAACAGATAACTTCATCACTGGAAGTTGGAGCGTCAAACTCAGAAGAACGAAGAGTAACAGATAGATAAGACTTAATTACTTTATGCACGGGTGTAAATATATGGAATGGTTTGACCATGCAGGCAGGCACTGTTGACCGTTTTAAAAGGGAATCTGTTTCTAATTTATGATGGCATTGGGGATTTGAGCCACTGAAGTAATGAGATTTTATTAAAGGTTCTGTTGAATTGGCCCATAACTATATAGCTACTTTGTTTCTCGTCTTGTACATTCTATCTTCCTTTGGATGCCTGGCGACGAGTTAGAAGGTAGAAATATGGAATCTGTCTGAGGCCACAAGAGAGAAAAACTGAGACAAATAAACATCTGTCCTGAAATTCAACTTTTGAAAATAAAAAATAATAATTTGTTCACGACTGTTTGTGGCACACTGCTGTGCACAATTGGTTGCCATGGTTCGCCCGCAAAATATACAGTCAATTCACTTTACAGTATATTCTGTAATATACTGTATCTCAATGACGTGATATGGCGCTATATAAAATGCAGGGATTATTATTATTTTACCTGAAACAGAAGGGTACAATTTACAATATTCCTTATTCCTTAAAGCATTCTTTAACTTAATTAAGGAACAATTTACTGCACAATGCAATTTTTTTCACAATCTATCAGTTAAGTACTTAAGATCCAAAACAGCAACAACAACAACAACAACAACAAATTACATTCGTATAGCGCCTTTTATGTCAGGAGGACGTCCCAAGGTGCTGGATTCAGGTCTGAAAGTAAAAGACATATTCAAATTTTGGGTCGGATCCATTTTTCTCCTTCAGATATTGATTTATCAGTTGTGCATTCCCAGTTTTTATGGGTTTTCATATTTCCGGCATTCAGCTTATATCGTCAAACATTTACTGTTATTGCTGTGTCGTCAGATTTTTACTATTATTTGTCTCATGTAAGATGGATAGCAGCATGATTTATCCAGATGAAAAGCTAATGGTAAAACAGATCTTCTAGGTGCATTGATATACATGATTGGAACTTTGGTATGCTGTATTTTTATAGTGAGCAGATTAACAAATGTAATGATAAATAAACTATACAGGAAAACCAGAGTAGGAAAAATGTTCAGAGTTCATACATTGATATCTGATTATTGTTTGAATAAACAATACTTTATTGTTTACTTTCAATAAACATTGGAATTTCATTTTTGCATATGAATTTGTTTTATGAATAATAGGTTTTATTTCAAATCAACAGCAAGGCACAATACACTGTAAATTTATTCTAAGATTTTTTCTTACCTTGTGCTGCCAGGAGCTTGACTAAATCACAGTATATGTAAAGTGAAGCCAACTTTGAGACTAATGATTGAACTGATGGAAATTCTATCCTATATTTAATCTTGTATCACATGTACACACCTTCATCAAAGACAACATAAAATGACTCATTTTCGTTGTCTTTATGCATTAACTAAATGTATTATTGGCAAAGAAAAGACAAGACATCCGTCTGAAAAAAAAATTAAAGCTCAGCTTCCTCTGATGGTTTGTGGGCAACTTTGCTGCCCAGGAATGTCCTGGTTTGATCCCTGATCTGTGCAAATCAGCTGATCTCATCCAGTAAAGGGGCTTGCAAAGAGGTAGAAAGAATGAGAGTGGAGGCCTTGCTGCTGTAATGTATCCGTTGACCTCTTCTGGAAAGTGTGCATTTATGGCACTTGGATGAAGACAGTTCCTGATGCCCTTCCATGGTCAAATAACCTACTGACATCCACTGTTTGAGTTCACAAATGATGAATTGCCACTTAACAAAGATACCAGAGGTCTGGTATAAATGTTGTTAATGTATCTGAGCATAGCAATGAGTGAAATCCAAATCCTTCATTCTTGCAAATTCTTTGGGAGGCAAAGAAAGAGGTTGAGTATTTAAAATCCTTGCATTTGATATAGGCGGAGGAGTTTCAAAGTGCTTCACAAGTTATGCTATAAAGTGCAGTGACTGCGTACTTTATAGGCAAGTGTAGCAGCAAATTTGTGCACAATAATATCCCACAGCAATCAAGTGAATGGCCAATTTTTTTGTTGTGGTAATTCGTGGACAATTATTCAAGATATAAGCTGCTTATTTCTATTTTTATGAGAATTCTGGGAGAGCTGACAATGGCTACCATTGGGTTAATGTATTGCCTGAGAGTGATGCTATCTCTCGATTTTTACAAAACACCTCCTCCTCCCTGAAGGCATTTACATGAAATCCTCCAATTAAAACGCACGCATGTATAATTATGCCGGCTGCAGTCACAGGACAGAACTCAACAGACAGAAGCCCAGGACAGTGGGTCGACTGAAACGCACCTCAAGTTTAACATTGTGCGAAGAAAAGAAGTTACGAAAAGAAAAGAAAAGAAAAGAAAAGAGAGTTCTAGAGAAAATGCTCTTCAGAATCAAGCGCCTGAATTCGGAATGGTTTTGAAACTATCACTGAGTACAATAGGATATGTTCTTTTCCTGTCAACCACTCTGCTTTCAACACCGGGGACAGGTACGTACATGTGAGTGGGAATCAATTGCACAAGAAGTTTGAAATGGAAATTGCACTGGGTGAGTGCAGCGCTAAGCTGAGCTGCTAAAGTTTTTTTAGCTTCACTGTGGGGAATGATTCAGTTTAGAATATTAACTGGTAGTTATACAAATTTTTAAAAAACGCAGAGAAGACGCCTTACAAATTTATACATAACTTGCTCCCAAACCCCCCAAAATACAGGATTCAACATCTTTACAATATTGTATCAGTTCCTAATTTTGGTAGAGATACAGTTCACGTACCGCTGGTGTTTTGTTCGGAATACTGGAGTCATCCATACTGAACAGAAGGTTATGAATTTGAATGTTGGTTGGTGGTTAGTTGTCTGATTTCAGCTGGTGTGTTATAATTGTCATTAACACATGTAGAGTGAGGGAGGGGAAGAAAATATTCAGCCAGACTTTCGCCTCATGGTCACCATCAAGTTCGTCCTGCTCAAAACGAGAAGTATGTGAGGCTTCCATAAGGACAGCATAATGGTTAGCTGCAAGTCAAAGACTCTCACTGTCTCACCATGTAGACTCAGACATCAAGAATCTACCACACACTGTGGAATTATACCACAGGATGAGTCAGTGCATTCAGGAGAAGAGCAGGGGGCGGAGGAGAATATTTTTTAAAAAAAACTTTTGTAATTAACTTCTTTCCATAAAGTGCAAGCTAAGGGAAAGCTCCTTTCTGATTTGTGTGGATCACTGGCTTTTGGTTATTAATAATAATAATAATCCTTGCATTTAATATTGTGCCTTTCACATCATCGAGATGTCACAAAGCGCTTCATAGGATATGCTGTTAAGTGGATTGACTGTGCATTTTGCGAGTGAAACATGACAGCCAGTTGTTCATAGCAATGCCTCACAAACAGCCATGGAGTGAGTGACCAATTTTATTTGGGGGATTCGTTTGGGCCAGGACATTGGGAGAAACTCCCTTCTCTTTTCAACTAGAGCTATGGGATCTTTAACATCCAGGAAGATGGAACCTCGGTTTAATGTCTCATCTAAAGGATGGCACCTCCGACAATGTAGCACACCCATAGCATTTCCAGTGGAATGTCAGCTTAGACTGTGATTCCAATTCCGATGCAAGATTTGAATGCACAACCTTCTGACTCAGAGGCGAGAGTGCAACCACACACAGCTTGGTTCAAGGCTGGACTCAAGACTCTTCTCTTCGACCGTGCCTTTGGTCGCCCTCCCACCTCTCTGCCTTCCCTAATCTCTACACCACCCCCACTCCCCCATGCTCGGGCCCCAACACTTGACTGTTCAGCGCTTTGGGATCCAACTTGAAAGGAGCTCTATAAATATAATTTTGTTGTTGTTGGTTCTTAAGCATTGCATTTTAATGTTCAACCCTGGAGTGAAAAAAATCTACCTAATGAAGCAAGATATTAAGTTTAAGAGGCTGATGCTGCTTTTTACACTGTATGGTTCCTCTATATAAGGGCTCTAAGACTCTACCCTGTGCGGAGGGTGCTCTATAAGTCAACTTGTTTGTTTGGTTGCTAGCTCCTTCAAAGCTGGAAATCTTAAACAGGCTGAGATTCATTACTATTCCCATAATTACAATACCAGGGTCTACTCTATGCATTGAGTCCCATTAACTCATAGAACTGTGGAGTCCTGTAGCTCAGTGGTTAGAGCACTCGCTTTCCAAGCGAGAGACCTGAGTTCAATTCCAGGCAGGGGCGAAACCTTGGGCAAGTTTCCTTACTCCACACACCTAATAATAATCCTTCCAAAACCAAAAACAATAATAAATTGGTCATTTTCAATCCACGACTGTTCGTGGGACATTGCTGTGTACGATTGGCTGCCGCGTTCGCCCACAAATATACAGTCAGTTCACTTTACAGTGTGTTCTGTGAAGCGCTTTGGGACGTCCTCCCAACGAGAAAAGCGCTATATCAAATGCAAGGATAAAAGAACATCACTCTTCACTGAGGGAAATGTAATTTAGGGACACAGTATCTTTTTTCACTGTGACTTGGGTATGAGCCAGTCCAAACTGGTTTCCTCTGTCTGATGTAACTAAGGGTCCAATTTGAAATAAAGTCCTAATGGAACTAATTGGCATTGGAGACTGCAATGGATGGCTTGAGTAGGAAGTGACAACATCACAGTAATTTGCAAGAGGACATTCTCTGTGGCAGGGGAGCGTTTCAGCTGAGTATTGCAGAAGAGAGGGACAAAATCACAAGATTAGTTTAAATGTAGAAGGCCCTTTAAGCCATTTGAACTTATCCTTCAAGAATGCCCAACCCATTGTCTTCCCATCCCAGTATCAAACCTCTTTTTTTTAAAATTAGTCCAGTGCTTTCCTGGCAACCTGTTCCAATGTTGATTACCCTCTAGGTGCAATCTTGTTGTTGTTGTAGGTAAAGAAAGAAATTCCTGGTATTTGTCCTGAAATTGCCCGTTGCAATTCAAAACCTATGTCCTCTTCATCTATTGCCCCTCTGAGTCATGTTCTCTCAAGATTGAAACCCCCTAACTTGTACAATCATTGCTCAAGTTCTTTTCTCTGAAGCTGGCCTGGGAACATTTGATGCTCTTTTGGCTTTTTGTCTGAAATATTCAATTCTCCAGTATTAGCATTCCTTGTCTTGTTAAACAAAAACAAATGGCCAAAACAGAGGAATGCAGGAAATAGTCATTCATGCAAACCTATTTCTCTCTCCCTCTTCTGAATTTGTGTACTCATGCTGAAGGTATATAATTCCATGGATGCTGCCCAAAGTGTCTGTTTCTGTGATCATTGGCAGACATCGTGGTTGAGTTTGATCCTCTGATCGTCAATTTATTTTCACAGTTTGGGTTTGAATTTGGGAATATCTGCAATACCAATACCCACATCTATAGGAATCCCATATACATTGGCAATTGTGTTAATAACAGGAAGACCTTTGATTGGACTTGGACCATTTCTTTCTGTGCCCAAGACATTCCTTATGATTGTTTCCTGCAAACAAACACTGCATAATCTATTATACTTCCAGTTTCCCTTGCCACGCTCAGTACAGAAATAGAAAAGGAATTTTGGCCACTCCTATCTCTTGAGTGCAGTCTTGTATTATTATGACAACTGGCAATAATATTCTTGGGAATGACTGGTTGAGAGGTGGCACTGCATAAGGTTTAACCACCTCCTTGGAGTGTCATGCAACTATTTGAGATGATGTTGCTTTCTTTCTCAATTACATTGAATCTTGTGACCCAATAGCATGAGTCATGGTTCTTCTAATCTGATGTCACAGAACTGATGTTTTACTGGAGAATTTTGGTATTAATGTCCTGTAACTAGTGAGGACAAAATCAGCTATTTTGTGACCATCGTTGAAAAGTGGGTGGATATCAAACAAGCATGAGATTAGTTTTACCTGTGATTTTATCCCCAAAACTGATAACCCGCTGACATTCATAGTCTGGGTGTAGAATGGTCACTAAGGAGAGATACTCAAAAGACCACTGAGTAAAATTCTACTTGGGTCTTGATTTACTCTTTTGACGTAGCATTTTAGAGTCTGCAGAATTTGGCAAATTGTTGAATTCTGTTTTAATTGAAAACAGTTTCATGTAGTTCTTTAAAGAACTAAAAGGAGGGGTTGAATGTGCTCATTCACTGATAGTATCCACAATTCTGTTCATTTTAACTGCTAATTTTAATGAGCCTTACATTTGATATAGCAGCTTTCACATCAGGAAGATTTCTCAAAGTGCTTCACAGGTTATACTGTGAAGTGAATTGACTGTATGTTGTGAGCGAACTGCATATCAAGGGCATTTGACTTCAAGCCAAAGCTTTATTGACATCTTTTGCAAGGCCACATTTAAAACGTGCTAAATTGTAGGCACCATACCCTGAAAGAACATTGCTACATTGGAAGGAGGTTCAGAAAAGATCCAACAAAGAGCTCAAAATTCCAAGTAATAAAAAATGACTCAGAGTAAATGAACAGTGGGGAATAAGTACAAGAACCCCCTACCAAAAAAAGGCTTAGAACATAGGAAAATACTAAACACAAAAAATGCAAAGTTGTGGGTTTGGGGGTGTCAGGTGAGTCAATGAAGCCAATGTACTGCTAGGCTAGGCTTAAAAAATCACTTAGTGCATTCCATGAGAATGCATACTCATATATATCCAGTGAACTCTGCTTCGAGCTCACCCTCTGGCAGTGAAACAAGTTGTCGTACATTCTTTACCACAAATGATGAACTCAACTGAAGCTCTTGGGACACATTTTCTAATTTTTTTATAATCTTCATATTATAGACTTTGCAGGTTATTAAAAATTAATGCTTTTGCTTTAGTTTTTTGAAGGCTCAAACTAAATCTACAGTAAAGCTTAAAAATGTCAATTCAAACATTATGAAATATTCTATGCATTAAGCCGTTCGCTGCAACATTATGCATTTGAGTGATTTGTTGGGCAGTTTGGATAACGCCAAGCTATTAGGAATGTTTTTCAACATTGTTCTAGAATTTGTTATATTGTTATGATATTACACTTTCTTCTCCAGCTGTGAGGACATACAATTTGCTCTCACATACCATTCTGCTCTGTACTCTTAAACAAAGGTAAAGGAGGGATGTGAATACATGACAGCTAGTGCAACTTTAACCATAATGACTACTTGTTACAAATAATCCAGATATACACAGGTACATTTCAAATGTGGAGTATGATCATTTTGAGATAGCAATAACTAACTGGTCAAAGATGGACAACTGGTCAAATCCGAATATTGTTCAGTGAGAGGTAATATAAATAATTCTAATAGACAGACCTTCAAGAGGTTTAACATCCTTTACCTTGGAATTCCGCAACCCATTTTGCAGAACCTTTTCTCAGGAATTTAAGTGGGTTGGACAGAGTCCATTCCATGTTGGGTTGTTCATGATCAACAAGACGGAATGTGCTAACATCAGCCAAATACTCATTACGGAATCCTCTTTTCCGTAAAAGCCTTTAGATTTCTCCAGAGACCATTAAAGAGGAAAATCGTAGAACACTATGAATGAGGGTATGAGAGATAGTACATAACATTTTTTTTTCATTTTATATTGTTGCTGTTTTCCTTTTCGAGGCCAAAGGAGTTAAATACATAATTTGGACAATGTAAGAGGTGGTTCAACAACATAAGGGTTGATGGGTTTACGTCTTGTAAGAATTGAATCATTGTCTTTGGTAGTTGCACAACCTTGCACTAAGGTATGCGTTGGACAATACTGTGCAACTGCACACTTAATGAATTACAAGAAATATGCTAGAACAATGTTTACTGTTGACAATAAAAACACATGTGTTTGTAGTATTCACACTATCAAATACTAAGCAGAGGAATCCTCCTGAGCATTTAATTGTTAATGCCAGATTCAGTTCCCAGTCTGGGCTGGAATAAGTGATCCAGGCTTGATTGGTGGTCGGGGCTGAGGACGTTGTTTGATGTCCTGGAGCTCATGCTAAAGAAACATTTTACTTGGATTCCTGCTTCTGATCAATATCAATTTATTCCCGCTTCTGATCAATATCCGTTTACTCTTGCTGGAGATTATGTGTGTATGTATGTGTTTTTGTGTATGTGCCTTTATGTATGTGTATGTCCGTATGTGTGTGTATTTGTATGTGATTGTGTGTGTGTATTGGGCTCAATAGTTATATTCACTTCACCACCTATGCCCCAAGTAAATATCTGAACATATGCTGTTTCGGCTATCAGATGAAGAATGGCTTTGGGGTAGCTATTCAAGAGTGTCCATATCTTAACGATTTCTCTTTCTTTAGCTATAATGAACAGCTATTCTTGATGTTGAACACGTCTAAACTCATTCAACAAAATCCTTCTGTTTCAAAATGATTCTGTACTCTTTTTCTTAAAATTTCTGACAGTAGTAAGCACAGATACAATGGTCCAAGTCAAAATGGACAAAACTAAAATGGAAATTTGTCTCATTTCTCAGCAATCAAGTTCCTCACTGATATGAGCACAGAAATTCTTGTTCTCTACTAGCGCATCTCAGTATTGAGATCATGTTAATTGAGCCCTTGAGGTTTGCTTTGTCGGGTTTATGATGCCATCTGGATGATACATTGCAGTGTTGTAAAAGACATTAATAACGTGAACTCCTTACTTCCCTCAATCCCATCCTCCTTCAATCTGTAGCCTTTTAAAACTGAAGCTTAGTGTCACTCAAACAATACTTCTTGATTTATCTGTTCTCCAATCCATTCCAACCTTTGTGATCTGCTGTTCTCTAGTTTTAGCTTTCACCCCTCAAGCCATACTGGACAGTGCAATGTTAACCTGTCTTCACTCTGAAGACTGTGAAGTTCCTACTGTTTGAGCTTGGGTCCTTCTGCTCTGCTCAAAAATTGCCACTTTGACTCAAAAAGGCAACAGAACAAAATAATAATACTAATTATTACTATTATTTTGTACAAATGTAGCCTCCTTGTGTGTAAAAGCTAACATGGTCCTTCCTGCAAGTATTATTATTATATAAAATATTATTATTTTCAGAACAAACAAAATAATAATAATCCTTGCATTTGATATAGCACTTTATTATGTCTTCGTAAAATAATAAAAGGCTGGAAATCACCACTGATCAATCAGCGTCTAAAAGAAAAGAATAAGCCAACATTTCTGGCTTTGCCTGTAATCGCACAACAGTCATTAGAACTGAAATAATGACTATATTACAAAAGAGTATGCAGGACGTAAAATACAAAACATATTGAAAGATATTTGCAGGCCCCAGAGAGTAGGATGAGAAGATGCCTCTTCCCCTCCTCTCTTGGCTCTCAGAGGCCCAATCCCACTCCAACACTAATCACTCCTCCCAACATCCCCATCAGTGAATCAGTGACTGCTCCTTCTCAAGCATTTTCTCTTCCAACTATGGTGGATGTCCCTCTGTTTCTTCCCTCACCACTGTCAATGGCTCTAGGTGCTTGTTTCTGCATCTACATACTGTACCTGCAAGTACCATATAACCTTTGCTATATCATGACTCAAGTTTGCTTGTCATCTGCATGAATGGAGTAACTTTAGGCAAGTGAAGGTTCCAAATCAGTTAACTTGTAACTTAATGTTACATGCATGAAATCTGCTCTTTAAGAAGCTTGCATTGCAACCACCCATCTATTGCAGTGTAAACGTGCCAGGATGTTTCGGGAGTATTAGGAAGAGGGTATTGCAATTGACTGGAAATACTCCTCCTTTCAGGAAGGACCATGTTAGCCTTTACACACCAGGAGGCTACTTTTGTACACCTTTACGATCAAGATTGCCACAGAACAGTTCAATTGGACCTTGTGAGGAGACACAAAATAAATTGATTGTTGTAATTGTCCACTGATAAAAAAAATGGGCAGAAACTGGATAATGGCTCGACCTGCATTGAACTGATAGCAAACGATAGCCATAACTGAAGGAATGATACAACCAGCCATTTATTGTTTTATGTTGCAGTTGACGTGTCCATCCTTTCAATAGACATTTAATGGAACAGATAGGATCACTCATTGAGTAAATTTCAATTGAAGATTAGAAAGAGGGATATTGTTGGACAAGTTGCTGGTCTTGCTGATCTGTATGTGGCTTTCATGTTGGGATGGACTGATTTCTTGCCTTTTACTGTGTAGGTTCTCTAAGGTTGCCAAAACCTGAGAATGTGTTTGTGAACTCAACAAACATGAAGCACATGCTGCAGTGGAATCCTATCAGCCCTGATGGACACATCAATGGAAGCATCAGCTATTCAGTGCAGTTTCAAGGGTATGTATGATGAAGAGCAGGAAATCAACATGTTGTGGTGACAGTTAGTCTCAGAGTCACAGGTTCTCAAACCAAGTTGCGCTCTGACAACATTAGAGTTACTATTGGATTCTGCTGGAGTTTTTGTTTTGATTCTAATGAATAAAACTGAAATTGAGCTACAATCTTTTACTGTTTCACACGGTGCTATAAACTGTTCATTCAACATACATTAACCTTGTTATATCAAGAAAATTTGCACTTGACATAGCACCATATCATGTTGTTGAAACATCTCATAGAGCTTCACATGAATTACTGTAAAGTGCAGTGACTGAGTAGCAAAGTTTCTCACAAATGGGCTTGAAAGGAATGACTAATTTATCTGTGGGAATGTTGACCAGGACACCAAGAGAAGCTCCCTTCTCTTTTCGAATAGGACCATGGAAATCTTTAATAATAATAATTAATAATAATGATCAAAACAAGGAAGCATTTACAATTAAACATCTAGGTAACCCTAGAATAATGTAGGGTATGATCACAGTTAGCTATATATATATATGTAAAAAAAAGTTGGTAACACAATAGGAAAGACCATAACTGAAGGGTAGGTATTTACATAAAAGTTCTATTTGGATTAGATCTGTTTTAATCTTAAATAGACAGTAGGTAAGCACACAGTCCATTCTTTTCCTGGAATTTGGGTTTTAATCCAGTTCAGGACACTGAGATCAAAGTCTCCTCTCCCCACTGACTGTGCCAAATAAATTTGGTTAGTCTCAGTCCTGTTCCTGATAGTTACACCGCAGTTCACGGCAAAGAGTGCCCACAGTTCAATCCAAATGGGCATAAACATTGTTGCTAGTGTCAACTGATGTAGGTAATGGAGCTGTCATATTCTTTGAGTGAATCAAGATTAGGGCACTTACTTGGCCCCCAGAGTTCAGGAAGCTTTACTCTACATGTAACCCATGCCACCACAGCTGTAATGTTTGTTAATCCGGAACACAGTTTAGATTCGCAAGTTCCTTTATTTATACCTTACACTTCCACAATCTGCCCAGTCACTTCCACAGAATCCTTTTATACTTGCTTGCTTCTCATTGTCAATGTCCAATTGTCGATTAAGTCATTGAAGCAATGTGCAACAACAGCTGAATTTTTAAATGTTTGACCCTAACAGAGGACGACGGTTCATTCCCAGGATCCTAGCATTGACATCCCTAAGTTTAAGTGTGACAAAACCCATTTATTGAATATATAATATATAAACACATACAGTAAAAATAACATTTTACGCCCTCTCTATACTTGCAAATCATGCACTGGATAATAAAGTGGAACCAAGGGGTGTGGGGGAGGGGGGAGAAGAGGAGGGAGGAAGGGGCAACTTTAACACAGGGCTAATGGATTCCCAAATGGCATCTGTGCTCCACAATATTAATATCAGTGGCTATATGTTATCTGTACCAGTATCATATTCTCCACAACAGTATCCCTGCGTCCAGTTGCTGGTTTGTCGTACTGCCCTCTACTGGTAGAGAAAATGTTACAGCATCTATAAATTTGGAAACTTCCTTCTGCAAAGGGAATTCCCTACATTATACCAGATTCCTAATGGAAATGTGTTTGCCCTCAAATCTGCCCATTTTTATGGCATTTGTTTTGCTGAACTGCATTGAAATGTGACACCGTGCAGCCATAATGACCACCAGATTCAGTGGTGGAGACGATGCTTAAGGAGAGAGAGAAAATGCAAAAGAAATGAGAAATTGCAGAAAATCCAACCAAAGAATTGCAAAGACAAATAATGTACAGTACAAATCATTCAGTGCTTTGATGTGATAAGGTGCTATATCAAATGCAAGAATTGGGCATACAGCATACTGTATTAACCTTTGATCAATATTTTCCTATATTGACACTCCTGTGTGCAAACAACAACAAAACAAGATTACATTTGTATAGCGCATTTCACATTGGGAGGACGTCCCAAGGAATAACGAAGGAAAAAGACATGGGAAAAAATACGCTCTTTGGTGCACTAATAAAAGGTTCATCCCAACAGCTGGAGAAACTCTCCGAAATCTCAGAGCTGGGGAGCTGCTGAAAGCCAGTGTCTTAACAGTTTGTGTTCCCTCTGGCCACAGCTTCTCCAGCCTCTTTATTTCAACAGCAATGAACAGCTGCACGCAGCCAGGGGTTCTTCTGAAACACCAGTTTGTTCCAGTGCCCTCTAGAGTCAGCAAGGCGATTATTCATTTGCGTGAATTGAACAGTTCCACCACACACTGGATAGCAACAATTCCCACCCTTGAAAAAGAAACAAATAACAAATTGCTGATGTAAATTATCAGTTAGCGCAGCATTCTAGGACTCATTTAGAGGCAGTATAAGATTACATGGATCCTTCTTTCCCACGGATTATAACGAATATTTCACTGGTCACAGTGAATTCCAGGCTCTTTTTATTTCCACTTGTGCAAAAGACTCATCGTAACTTGTGCAAGCCTGTGCCAGTTGTGTGTTGGAAGTTACGTTGCTTAGTGATGTGATCTGCCTATCCTGGACTTCACTAAGTGTATTCTAATCCTGCTGAAGAAATTGGCTGTAATGTTTGGATTTTGCGTTTGGGTCAAATTGCTGCTAATTTGTGTCATTTGCCCAATGTGAAACTAAGATTGCAGTGTTTTGTTGTTGTCACCAAACCCTTCAATTTAAGGAGTCAGGGATTCAAAGGGAGAAGTAGATCCTTGTCCACAATGTCCCCATTGGCCACGACAACTTCAAATCTGCAGTACACAGGAATCAAATAAAAATGCTCTTCAACCTTATATTTACTCCAAAGACAAAGAATTGTCTGATAATCGATAGAGTGACAACTGGCAACTGGCACAGCGGTACACACACCTTCTCCTTCCTGTCACGTGGAATGACTGACCAACTTTAACTGTTGGACAGGACACTGAGACAAAAGTGCCATGGGGTATCTAAACATCACAAGGATTATTATTATTATCCACCTGAACAGGCAGGCAACACTTGGTTTAAAATCTCAACTGAAATGGGCACAGATAACAATTTAGTTCAATCTCCTCAATGTAAATCAAATTGTTTCTTGTTTCAGCGAGTTTGAAAGAATTCACTTGGAGAACACTTGGCGAAAAATCTTTGAATGCACCAACATCACCGTCAATCAATGTAATGTCACAGTAGACATTGCATCTGATGTCGAGTATGATCTGAAAGTTCAGGCACATCTTGGAATCATGACTTCAGAGTGGGCATTCATAAACAAACTGTTCTCTCGGCAAGACAGTAAGTACTGTACTACATTACAATTTCCCGATCAATCGGTTTAGATATCTAATTGATAAAGCAGCCTCCGATCTTTACTTTCTCCTTACTTAGCTGATCTCAGACAGAGAAGCTATAAATTGTCCTTGCCCAATGGATCGGTGTGCCCGTGCTCTGCTGGTGTGACTGTTTGCATTTAGCACTTTGAGTTTCTTCCTTACCGAAATTCAATGAAAGATTTGTCCTCTGGAGGAGTTAAGGAAGTTTTGTGTACTTGTGAACTCAATGCAAACAATCGTTTAAAATCCTTTGTTTGGATAATAGTACAATAATATATATAACAATAAGTGTAAGCCATTTATAGATCAGTAATCAGAAATACTTTTTTAAAAAACATATAGCGATTCTTACAACACCAACCCTGACCGTAAAAGTGAGTGAAAACCAATTAAGAGTGAAAGTCGCAGAAGTAGAGAAGAACATTGAAGCCCATATTTATTACTGGAAGGATATTGCAGATCCACAAGTAAGTATCTCACAAGTAAATTTTGCCTCATATGTGATTGGTGTATTCATGTAATCTATGTTGATTCAGGCTCTCAATCTTCTGTTTGAACTAATCTGTAGGAAACTGATATATAGCAAGTCTGCCAGAAACAACCTTGTGAAGAATCTGAGACACTTATTCTGTCATAACATTTCTGCCAATGACATAACTGATGTACATCAAGACAATGATATGATGGTTAATCACTATACCTGACTTTACACTGCAACAGACACAGGCACTACAAGCCTCTAGTACATGTTTAATGTCAGAAATTTATTGTATTAGGTGACATTTGCAGATTAAAATTCACTCGAGAATAGGCCAGCATCCCAGAACAATCTTTGTTACTTCTTCTAACACAATTACTGTCAGATTTCAAAAAATATTTGATAAAGTTCGACATAAAAAACTTCTAAAGAAAGCTCGGCTCATGTCTCAATGGCTCATTAACTATCTAGAATTAAACTGGCTTAGCAATCAGATACTCAAAGTGAGGATCAATGAAAATAGTTCAACTTGAAACCAGGGAGGAGGGGGCAGTGAAGAAGATTCTATTGAAGAAAGAAAAGATTAAATTAATATTCAGTCTGTATTTTCTGTGCTGTTACTAAAAATAAATTAGCTCCTAACATTTAAGGCAATAGTCCAACAACAAAATCCACTTTTGTCACTCGCTTTATGCACAAATATGACTAGTATATTAGTTTTCAGTATCCACCCAAGAGTACTACCAACCTTTTGCCACTAGATGCCATCAGGGTGTTTCATAACAGAATATTTCACCAGTAGCCAATGGATAACGGCCACTTATACTTTTAGTTCAACTCTGTGACAAGGAATCACTCTCGTCTCCATTTATATCTGACAATGCCTCGCTAGCTTATGACTGTGATCTTTAAGTTGCTAAATGTACTTTGTGTAATGATACAGGCACTACTCTTCCATGAGAGGAGGGTCATGAGAATTTAAGAGACCATGGAACGCAATAAGACAATGCAACCCATCAAGATTGCTCCTTCCCAGCCACACAAAAGCTATCCTATCAGAAACATCTCTTATTATCTGGGGGAAAGTTTCTGCACAGAGACTGCAATTCCCTGAAATCAATTAAGAACACCTTGAACTTATTCTTCCGTTCCCATAACTCTAACTTGACCTCCTCTTTCCACAGGTTACATCCCCACAACCTGTCCCAGTAGCACAGAAATTGCATAGCGTAAATATTTCTGTCCACATGGAGTTACCAAAATTGGAGGATTTTATCGAGTATTATAAATTGGGAGCCATGTATTTAATAGTAGTTAACAAACTCTTTGCTACATCTTGTGCTTTTATTGGTACACATTGAGCTATTAATTGTCATAACATACATACAGAACAATCCTGGAGTAATTTGGTTTGCTCTTTAAACCTGTTTCAGAATTCCATAAGGAATGTGAACTTAGGAGGAGGTATCTTCTACTTGCACATAAGAGTTTCAAACTTTGATCTCTACTAGCACAATTACTAGTTAGTAGTTTGCACTCCACAATGAAAAAGGCTTAAAATAATCAAATTGATTTTCCTTTTTGTCTTTTCCTGAATCCAGGTAAATAATGTCACGATTGACCAGACAAAGAATCCTTACAATCTCGACATTGAGAAAGGGGTTACATACTGCTTCCAAGCTCAAACCTACATTTTCAAATACAACAAATCCAGCCCCCGAAGTAAACCAGTGTGTAAATTGGTGAAGAGTAAGTGAAATGTTTACCCTGGAGGTGTTTATTCTCCTCTTCATCATCTTTTTAAAATAAAATTAAGAACCTAGATGAAGTGTCAGGGATCTTTGTGCAGATTATCAGAGGCTTGCGTTTTAAAATTCTGTAGATTGTAAAAGGAAAGGAAGATTGAGGAAGGTAAGATGCTCAACAGTACTAAGGCATAATGACTTTGAAGAAGAGACATTGTGATGAGTTTTGATTCAGCACATTGGGTGATCCATTTGAAACCTTGAGAGAAACAAGAAAGGAAAATTTGGAGATGCAGTAGCGACAGTAACAATACTGATCAAATAGAGAGAAAAGGTTGCAATACAGTGAGACAACATGGAGGGAAGGATCACTTATCAGAAGGCTAACCTATTCTTAATATAAGTAAGGTGTTGGATTTAAGCCTTTGATGAATTTCAGATTTCTAGAGAGATAAGAGATGTTGAAGTGAAAATATATACCTGCCATAAAAGAGGAACCTAAGCTTCTTGTGAGCTTCCTTAATAATCAAATAGAGTGTGAGAACTTTACTTGAGGTTAGAGGAGTTAGTGAGATGGAGAATGTTGATAGTTGAAGGATTATTTATGGAGCCATGCAAAGTTAGCAATCACTCTATTAGACTTATGGGAGACATAAGCTCCATAATAATAATAATAATCCTTGCATTTGATATAGCGCTTTTCACATCGGGAGAACGTCTCAAAGCACTTCACAGAACACACTGTAAAGTGAATTGACTGTATATTTGTGGGCGAACACGGCAGCCAATTGCGCACAGCAATGTCCCACAAACAGTCGTAGATTGAAAATGACCAATTTTATTATTGTTTTTGGTTTTGGAGGGATTATTATTAGGCTCTGTGTGGAGTAAGGAAACTTGCCCAAGGTTTCCCCCTGCCTGGAATTGAACTCAGGTCTCTCACTTGCAAAGTGAGTGCTCTCACCACTGAGCTACAGGACTCCATCTTATGGAGCTGAAGGAACCAAGATTTTCATTGCTCTACTGAAGAACCATGGGGGAATGAAGCTTTAGTGATTCTCCAATTCTTCTGTGAGCAGAGCGAAAGTTGAAGGAAATTGATGAATGGCATGTAGAATCATCAGCAAAGTAAATGGATAGGATCGGATAAAAAGCAATAGTGTTGGGTTGAGATATTGATGTGGATAGGAATAAAGTTGGAGAGATAAGTTATGTTACATATCTGGATATGTTATCCAGATACCTGGATAACTCCAGAGCTGAATTCAAAGGATAAAACATGAACTACAGCAGAGATAAAAGAGATTTTTGAAGGGATGGGGATCTTGTGTTTGTGCTTCTAATGTAAGGTAATGATTGAGTGATTGTTTTCTAATGACCCACTCATATTTCAGATCCTACACCCTATGAGATTTTAATCACTGTGACCATAGTGTTACTTCTTGGAACAGCAATTATAATGGTGTTCCTGGTTCTCACGTGGAAACGTTGCCAATGGATTAAATCTTCCTTGTTTCCCAAAATTTCAATCCCTTCCGTATCGGTAAGTTTGCGCAAAAATCCTACTCATTATCTTAATCATTTTGTATTTGAACATAGGAACTCCTCTCTGATTTTCAATATAATGAAGATTGTTCCTTTTCAAAGAATCACAATATTGGTCAGATGCTAATTGTTATTTCAATACAATACATACAATATTTGGGCTGCAGGGCAATTTTACAACAACAAATTGAATTTATATTGTGCCATTCACATCCAGAGGGCTTCCCAAATTGATTTTAAATACGTTTAAAAGTTATTCTGCATTAACCTCACCCAAAGTTACTGCTTGAATTTTCCCTTTTCTAGTTCAGGAATATTGAAGTCAAGTGTAGTACACTGATACCCATTGCAACTAACTCAATACAGAATTAAATTACTTTACATGCAGCTGTATCTCAGTTTGAGTGAATACATTCAGAAAATGACAAATCTAATTTTAAACAAAGGCATTATAGAATGCTTAAAAATATAATTTTATTTGCAGTTTTTTAAAAAAATATATACTTAAACATATTAATGTCTGAAAAAGAATGAGATTTATTGTTGTTCTACTAATGTAACACCACCTCCAGTAACCCCACTGAAAAGATATAAAGCATTTTTATTTTTCTAGTTTAAGAATGATTTTAAATGGAAACACAGCATTACAAATAAGTTATGTATTATTCCACTCTTACAGTCTTTTGATGATTTTCCACCCAACGGAATGAAGCGAGTCGATAAAAGCAATGAAGATTACGATCTTGTCCAAGTTTTTACTCAGTCAGAGTTATTACTTAATGGATATCCAGCAAGAGATTCAATGCCAGTGCAAACAGGTCCACTGAAGATAGAAGAAAAGACAAACCACAGCACAGGTCAAGATAGCAGGTCCTCCAATTGTGTTGTATCAGGAAATGCTTCCCAGTGGCCTGATTCAATGGAGATATTATGCTGCAAAGCATATCAGTCTCAAGCAGTATCAATCTAAAACAAAGACATTTAAAATTAACAGGTAATGAACCCATGATCATACAGATACTTTCTGACTCCAGCAATATAACCTGACAAGTCTTCAGAGCTACAAGGATGCACAACTGATTGGTTTGAATCTCAAATACGAGCCTTCCACCCTACCCTATTGATTTCATCTTTAGATCTCCAAAGATTTCAGGAGTCTGCTGCACTGACATGTTTGACAAGCCAAATGGAGGCTTGAATTAACTTGCTAATCCTGCTTACCTTAGGGAGAGGTGGTGAAGCTGTTCTTTAAAAGTGTTGCCATTGCTTGGACTAGTTGTTGGATTATGTTTAAGAAACTCATTGATAACTGACTGATGGCATCATTTTGGTACTCTGCAAAGTGAACAGAATATTTGACTTCGGCCAGAATATTATTGTGAACATCTGTTCAACAGTTGGATGTATAACATTAACCCAACCTGAATTCTTCTCTCTATATATCCTGGGTCCACAAGAAAGAAAAATCACGTTTCATCAGAAGTCATTTCATCTGCTCTGCAGTAAAGCTGAATGAGATGTTAAGCTGTTTCCATATTACTGCTCATGTGTGTACACTGAAAATTCATAACAACTGAGTGCCACCATCAGCACTCTGTTTACAAACTTCCAACAGTGATGGTTAAAGGATTACCTGTTCAATGTTCTTACTCTTTCAGTTTTCCATGCATTCATTTGTGTATATATATGTGTGTGTACATATATAAACGTTTCTAGATTTATTTTCCTTTTTCTAAAATATGGACATCCACAGTTATATATGCTGCGAACTGCTGGCCATTTTGGAAAGCAACCCGACATTCCCCTTCTGTTGGCTATGCACCTCACTCTCTACCTCTGGACAGGAATTCCACCTTCCAATATCAGGAATCTGAATTCTGCTATACCTACCTCAGGATTCCAGCCAGAAGCTTTCTATTTATCTGCGTTGTGCGCAGAGGAACACAATGGAGTTTTTTAAAATCTGGATAAATCTTTCACATATTGTGTTCTCCAAGAGTCTGGATGTAGAAACAGACGTAATTCTTTTGACATTGATATTGTTTACTTATTTGTAATAAAATAAATGAAAAAAATGCGTGTTTAAACTTAATACTGCACAGTCCGAAGCATGTCATTATATTATACAATTGTTTTGTGCAACAGATAAGACAGGAACAACAGTAGATGAGTTTGACATTTGTTGCAGACATCATTTGGGATATCCAGAAAAGAGGAAAAATTTAGCATCTTGAGATGAATAGAATTATAAGGAGTCAGCATATATTGATGCTGAGATCTGAGACACAAATTTTCAAGACTGAGGTCGATAGATTTTTGTTTGTTTAGGGTATCAAGGTTTATGGATCAAAAGCGGGTAAATGGAGTTGAGGTACAGATCAGCCATGATCCAGTAGAATGGTGGACAAAGCTCGAGGGGCTGAATGGCTTCCTCCTGTTCCTATTTTTCTCAGAGAGAGATTATGCATTATGAATCCATTGGAGTTCCTTTGAGAAATAATAAAACTGTAGACAAGTGGAAGTCAGTGAACATAATTACAATTAGATTTTCAAAAACCTTTTGGACTCAGAGATCCACGGGAGATTGGTAACAAAATGGGAAGGCATATTATAAAGGCAGATGGTAATTTCTGAATTGTATTGAAAATGATCTGGATCATAAGCAGCAAAGTCCACACAAAGCGTAATAATAATAGTCCTTGCCTTTGATATAGGGCCTTATCACGTCGTTGAAATGTCTCAAAGCACTTCACAGGTTATACTGTAAAGTGAATTGACTGTATTTTCAACTTATATATCATATAACTTCAATGATTCCAACGATGTTTCTTAGTGAGATGTCAATGCTATTTATAGTGTACATAAATGAAGCTAGGCAGAAATCCAACTGTCTTAAGTTTGCTGATGACGCCAAACTGAAGAGTGGGAAGGAAGGGGGTGCTGTTTGTGTGTGTGTTCACAATAGTGATCCTAGATGGTGCAGAAAACATGCAAAAAGTCATGCTATCCAAAGAAATCTACGCAGAAGCTGTGAACAAGTGATAGTAAATGCTGCCTGTGAGAACATTATCTCCCACCTGAGGAAGGAGCTTCCCTAAGGTCGTCAGCTACAGGTTCCAGTGCCTGGTTTTCGGTCTATCACTGGTTCAGGACTGAGGTTATGGTGGGCAGTTGCTGTTGAGATGAAGTTCAATGGTGCTTCACTCTTGTTGTCCTCTCATTCATTGCTGGCGCCACCTATTTATTTTATCACTCGTTCTGGACAGTAAAGGTTCGCACCAGGAGAAACCACAGATCGTTATTAGGTTTTTGAAAATCTACCCACACGCCTAATAATAATCCCTCCAAAACCAAAAACAATAATAAAAATTGGTCATTTTCAATCTACGACTGTTTGTGGGACATTGCTGTGCGCAATTGGCTGCCGTGTTCGCCCACAAATATACAGTCAATTCACTTTACAGTGCGTTTTGTGAAGCGCTTTGAGACGTCCTCCCAATGTGAAAAGCACTATATCAAATGCAAAGATTATTATTATTATTATAACTGGGATCCGCTCACATTAAAGGCTTCCACTTTTGCAGCAAAGTTCCTTTCTCTCCTACTTGCATATTACCCCACCACCACCACCCACACACCACACACACACACACACACAACAAAAAAAGTTCTGCAGACGCAGAAACATACTTTGAGGAAGTATATTGTAAATTTGGACAGTGTTAGTCGTCTGTCAGGCCGAGGGTCTTTCCTTGGTGGAGCTGGAGCTCAGTGAGAATGGATGGGTTGACCATCTGAAAATAAAACGAATTGCATGACGATTGCAAGTCTTGCCTCGTGTGACTGCCTGCAATTCCAGTTAGTCCCTGTGTTGGCCAGAAAAAAAAAGACCATTGCTGGGGCTGCCACTAACGAAATGGGTCAATCTTTCAGGAAATTTAGAGTATTTAAAACAAAAAATGGCTCATATGGACAATTGAACCCCAAGAAAGCGTGGAAGTTTGAGCTCAGTTAAAAACACACATCGTAGTCCATGATAATTGTGTTCTGTTACAAAAACACGCACCACTTTGAACTTAAGTGGATTGGGAAATGAAGTCTGATGGATGCTCTTTCAACTAATGGTAGAATTGTGGAACACTGCAACACAGAAACCGACCACACCGTTGATCGCCTCGAAAAATGAGCTCCTCTGTTGCTTTGGAAGAGCAAACCATGCGAGTGCAATGTCATACTTGCCCAACGTGAGACAACGAGTCATTGCAAGGCTGCTTTAAATAGCTGTTTCCAAAAACTCACGCGAAAAATATGCATCTGAGAGTAAAATCAATTGGTCATCTCATCGAAGATCAATCCGTTCAATGCGTGGAAAAAAAANGTCAAACCTCCTCCTTTGGGGCGAAACACTCCGCCTTCTCGACAGAGAACTCACATATGAATAAAACAAAGCACATGGTTATGAGACTGGACTGGTGGCTTGTTTCCTTTGCAGTATTTAGAGTTGGCTAGCCCACGAGTTTCCCCAATGCTTGGCAGTCTCCAAGGTGTGTTTGCATTGGCCGCTTACCAATCCGGATAATTGGGATATTTAAGATGCAGCTCCTGTTAAACAGAAGTTTGCCTAATAAAGCTCTGGTATTGATATTGCTTGGTTTCAACACTGTGATGAATGGCTATCATACATTCAATAAACAGTTCAACGCTTTACCTGTGTTTATCTTAGCCAAAGGTGGAACAGAATGGAAATAAGTGTTAATCGTGAATTTTTTTTGTAAGCAACGTTTCTGCTGCCTCACCGCACTATTAAAGTGTTTTTTTTTTTTTTGCAAGGCATGAAACATGCATTAAAATCAATGCCAAGTTCTCCAGAATTATGGTCTCTTTCCAACTGTGTGCTTCCATCATATCAAAGATCTCTTATTCTCAGTGCAAAACTTATCCATCGTTTCCTCACTCCAATCGCCCGCATCTCGGTGCGCGCAACAGTCAACACCCGAATCACTCAAACTTCATCTGATACATAGTCTTTAAAAAGGCAATGAAAATCAGGTTTTAATTCTGAACTTCCTTAGGCGCAGGTCCACAATAACATTCACAATGCACAACCCCACACCCTCTCACGGGGAAGGGGAATTTCATATCAGTGGTACCCTACATCCTTGGAAATTAAATTCAAAATTCGCTATGTAACTATGATTAGATATTTAGATCAGCAGAAAGTTGTTGGGTCTGCATCCCAATTTTGCATCTGACTTCAACTTTTTGAATATCTTTCAAAGTGACCCTTCAAGTCGAAAGTAGAGGCAGAAAGCTATCGTCCACATACATATGATCAGGTACTCCATTGCCTACAGATGCTGTCACCAAGGAAGGGCATGGAGATGATGAAAAACATGCTACAAAGATGGTAAAACAGAAATCCAAAGTAACAACCAAACAGCCAATAGGTGATGAAGAAAAACGTTGCTACATCCCCTACATCCTATCTTGGGAGATTGGAGAATTCGATCAAGGTGCTGCCTCAGACTTATCCAAATTGGTTGTACTATGTTGCGTGTACATAAAAGTCTGTTAACAATGATCCACGTACCATAACCGATTGTTGTTCTTAACTTATATTACAGTGTATAACATTAACTGTGTTTTAATTTTCTACCTTTTCTACCAGAGATCCCAGTTTGAATTCTATGCTCTTTTATGAAATTACTAGCGATTCGCACTTTATTTCTTTCATTTTACTTAAGGAATGAAACTCACAGATAAACAGATCATCGCCTATACGTAGTAGAGGTAGTTCACCCCTTAAGAAGTGTACATCAAGTTACAGAATGCATTTGCTAAATAGGTACGTGAATATTATGATTGTGACTTGAATTCCGCACTGTTGAAAGATCAGCATCAGCCCTGTAAACTGTAGTATTTTTAGGATGGTTCTAATGCTATTCAATTTGTTTACTTTCAAAATATTGTAATACCTGTAAAAAAAAATTCTATTGATTTAGCGGTATAAGAGGTTTCAGATGTGTTTGTTCAAACGTCTGTAACTAATCCTATATCGATGATTATGCAAATATTGTTCTCACTGGACGGTTCCCTTTTGTACAAGAGGTTTCAGTTCATAGCAAATTTGTTTGTTCAAATGTCTGTAACTAATATCAATGATTATGCAACTTGATTATCTCACTGGAGGGTTCCCTATTGGTACAATATAAATATGGATATGTTTGAATGTATAATCTCAATGCAAGCCTTCAGGTTCAGCATTAATAGATGTCAACCCTTCTCGCTTAAAATGCATCAAACAGCAACTAATCAGATAAATGTAATTTACTATACTACACTCGCAGTTGTTGGAGTTCCGAATAAGTCATTATAACTATATTTCATTCATGCTAACAAGTAAGAATTTGATGTTTTTCCCTCTTGCTGATTGTCAAATGTAACGTGATTGTTTTACTGTCGGTTACAGTCACTATTGACGAGAATAGTTTCAGTAACTAGAATATCTGAGTTTGCATTTTAAACTGCTCTGCTTTTTCTAATCACATTATTGAATTTCTTTCTTTCTTAGAATCTCCAATACAGGAATTACTACATGTATTAATCTCCTTCAGTATCTCAATGGTGCACCTGAATTAGGCACTGGTATCAGACTGAAAATACCACAGTGTACATGCAAATTAATTTACATTTAAACAAATCCTTTAGTACAAGATATCCGTTTGGTGTATGATAGCATTTCGTGTCATTTTTTTTTTGAAAGTTATATGCATATCATTTGGAATAAAACGCTATTTCAGGGTATAGTAAGAATACTCTGTATGAATAATTAAAATTGTGTCAGCAAACCAGTTGTGGCGTGTCGTTCAATGAACGTTGAACTGCTATATAATATTTGGTAATCTGCCTTCAGGCAACAGTCTCTGTGAATGCGCTTTAAACCATCTGCCAGTTAGTTTCACTGTAAAATATGCAGATGGTGTATGATCTAATTAAAAATGTGGTCCTATGTTTGTAGTTTTAGAAATATATATGTGTAGTATATATAGTATTTGAAATAACTTTAAATAAAATGTGGATCTCCATCACGGCTTTCAATCTCGTGTTACCTTCTGTTTTTCCTGAACATTTCCAATCGATTATGATCGAGTGCATTGAGTTAAATGCTTTTATTTATGTTGTGCAACGTTACAAAAGCATCGCTACAAAATCTGAGCTAATTCGTTTCCAGTCGATGAGCTTCTTTCCTGTAATATACATTCTTTCCTTGTAATCAAAGGGTTTTTTTTTATTTTGAATTTTGATTGCATTCACGTTATCCAGGGCATGGTTACCAAGGCAATTTATAGCATCATTTATCATTGGGACCTGCCATGTGGATTGGGTACCAGTGTGTGTCCAGTGCGACTGATTTAAGTGCTGACCTGAGAAAAACAGAAGCAGCAAAAATAGATAGGGATTGTATATTTAAACGGAGAAGCTCACAAAAAAAGGGGTGGGGGTGGGGGTGGGGGGGTGGACTATAAGACTATAGGGTTACAGGTTTTTAAAAGCGAAATCTTGCCCATTTTTTTAATGGCAATTGATCTCGGATTTTTCTTCCTCCTGTGCTCATCAAACCCGGTGTCTGGGATCGCATCGCATAGAAACGCGCAGCGCGATAGGGATTCGGTGCCTCTCTGTTAGATTCGGGCGCTCTCCTCTCCTCTCCTCTCCTCTCCTCTCCTCTCCACACACACACACACACACGTGTATTATTTATTTCGCTGCCCCGACTTTTATGGCTTTCGGATTTATACGCATTTGTTAGAGAGAAAGAGGGAGTGAGAGAGAAAGAGAGAGAGAGAGAGAGAGAGAAAAAATATATATATGTTCTGTTGCAAAAGTCAGACGGTGCAACCGAGGTACCGAACGATGACACAGAGCACTTAAAGAGGGAGGACTGATGCGTTTTGCTTTGACGCGGATATTGCGGCGTTCGCAGGGGGTTAGTTACTGTCCCGGCGAGTTTCCCCTCTCCCTGACTGACCCCCCCCCCACCCCCCGGTGGGCAGTGTCCACGCCGTCCCGATCTTGGTGGTCGAGACACGTTGCGGGGGTGGGGGGGGGGGGGGGGGGGGGGGGTCTGACTGACTGTGACTTGTCACCTCGGATCGCTTCGTGGCCGTTTGCTGCCGGAAAAAAACAAACACGAAGAAGAAGAAATAATAATAATAATAATAATCATCATCATCATCATCCTGGCATTTGATATAGCGCTTTTCACGTCGGGAGGACGTCCCAAAGCGCTTCACAGAACACACTGTAAAGTGAATTGACTGTATATTTGTGGGCGAACGCGGCAGCCAATCGCACAGCACACACCCCCCACACACCCGCAAAACAGTCGTGGATTGAAAATGACCAATTTATTATTGGTTTTGGTTTTGGAGGGTTTATTATTAGGCTCTGTGTGGAGTAAGGAAACTTGCCCAAGGTTTCGCCCTCTGCCTGGAATTGAACTCAGGTCTCTCACTTGCAAAGCGAGTGCTCTAACCACTGAGCTACAGGACTCCAAGAAAAAAAAGAAAACCTCAGCCCCGGGTAACTCCACGCGTGAACGTGAACCGAGAGCTGCTGCCACAGTAACACCGGGAAGAAGCACCGAGATCCGGAGCCGGAGATCCGGAGGAAAATCCTTCATTTTACTCTTTGTTCCCCTAATCCGACACTTTCATCCTCTTTGTGTTTCATTTTTTCATCCTATTACCGAACCAGGAACGTGTGTTATGACACCGGTTTCACAACAACACCGCGTTTATGCTCCAACTGATGAGTTTCTGCACCAACGCTTGAACCCGAATTAAGTTCAGAGAGCAGTCAAAAGGTGGCGGTGAAGTATCCACTTTTTTTTAGTCTGATGGCGAAATTCGTCGCCTCACCAGATACCTGAGATTCAATGGCCTGACAGTTTAAGACTGTGCGGAATTTAGGAAATCCTCCTCAATTCCATCCTCGATAGGAAAGCTTCGGGTCTTGAGGCTGAGACGAGAGGGATTTTGGATGCTCTGAAGTCAAACCCAGACTGACTTTATGCAGCACACAGCAATGCAAATAATCCCTCCAAAACCCCAAACAATAATAAATTGGTCATTTTCAATCCACGACTGTCTGTGGGACATTGCTGTGCGCAATTGGCTGCCTCGTTCGCCCACAAATATACAGTCAATTCACTTTACAGTGTGTTCTGTGAAGCGCTTTGGGACGTCCTCCCGACGTGAAAAGTGCTATATCAAATGCAAGGACTATTATTATTATTATTATAAACCGTGTGCCATTTCAAATGCGGTTCCCTGTTAACACCCACTGAGCAATGTTACACAAATGCATTTGGTCCTCGTGCATTTTCTGATGTCGCAGCCAAACAATATTTAACCGAAGCGATTCGAATAAAAGTGGAAACCCTCGTGAAACAACAGAGACATAACATTTACATTGAGTTTCTCGCCACGAGATTCTTTTTCTTGTTGAATCCCAGCGACTATGATCCCACTGTTGGCGATCAGACACTCTGTAAGAATTATTAAGTGGGTGAATTATAGGTCGGTGGACCAGCGAACCGGTGGATTTAAACACCCGTTCCCCAAAATAGGACACATCCTCAACCTCATGAAAAAGAAAACACTGCGGGCAACAAAGAAGACAACACAAACTAACTAACATTGGCGATATATATATATATACATATATATATTTCCTTTCTGGTTTAAACCTGAGATTCAAAAAAAGAAAGAAACGTTTGTAATACAGAACGAGACGCAAATTACACCTTCGACACATCATTATCATCCAAACCCATCGTGTAGTGCAGTAATGGAGAGATATCCCGGAAAACCGGGGTGGGGGGGGCTGTGTGTGTGTGTGGGGGGGGGGGGGGGGGGAGCTGTGGGTGTGTGTGTGTGGGGGGGGGAGCTGTGGGTGTGTGTATGGGGGGTGGAGCTGTGGGTGTGTGTATGGGGGGTGGGGTGTGGAGCTGTGGGTGTGTGTATGGGGGGGGGAGCTGTGGGTGTGTGTATGGGGGGGGGAGCTGTGGGTGTGTGTGTGGGGGGGGAGCTGTGGGTGTGTGTGTGGGGGGGGGAGCTGTGGGTGTGTGTGTGGGGGGGGGAGCTGTGGGTGTGTGTGTGGGGGGGGAATGGGAGCTGTGTGTGTGGGGGGGGGGCTGTGGGTGTGTGTGTGGGGGGGGGCTGTGGGTGTGTGGTGTGGGGGGGGGGGGCTGTGGGTGTGTGTGTGGCGGGGGGGAGCTGTGTGTGTGGGGGGGGGAGCTGTGTGTGTGGCGGGGGGGAGCTGTGGGGGGGGGGGCTGTGTGTGTGTGGGGGGGGGGAGCTGTGTGTGGGGGGGGCTGTGTGTGTGGGGGGGGGGAGCTGTGGGGGGGGCTGTGGGGGGGGGCTGTGGGGGGGGGGGGCTGTGTGTGTGTGGGGGGGGCTGTGTGTGTGGGGGGGCTGTGTGTGTGTGGGGGGGGCTGTGTGGGGGGGGGGGCTGTGTGTGTGTGGTGTGGGGGGGGGGCTGTGTGTGTGTGTGTGGGGGGGGGGCTGTGTGTGGGGGGGGGCTGTGTGGGGGGGGTGGGGGTGATTATGAGGGCTGCTGTATGGACAGTGGGGAGTGAATGCCCTCCTCCCTCTCGGGCTGTAACGATCAGTGCAATTCTATGGTAACGTTCGGCAAAACAACGCCGTTCCGGAGCGTCGGTCTCTGTTGAATAGTCGCGAAGTGGTTTATATTTTCCTGTCGGGGCCTGAAACCATGTGTGCGCGGGAGGGGGGGGGGCGGGGGGGGGGGGCGGGGGGGGGGGGGGGGGAGGGAGGGGGGGCGGGATGGTGGGGGGGGGCGGGAGGGGGAGGGGGGGTACATATTTCAGCCAACAATTTTTTTGGGGGGTGGGGGGCGGAGTCCCATCGGTACGGGGCGCCCCTGTCCCCCCCTCCTCCCCCGTCTCCCAGCGACCGACTGTTACAGCGTCCCGCTTCCATGACAACCGAAGCTCAGCGTTCCACTTCCATAGCAACCACCGCCCCGGGGAGGGGGGGGGAGTGTGTGTGTGTGTGTGGGTGTGTGGGGGGTGTAGTGTAGTGAGAGAGAGAGAGAGAGAGGAGAGAGAGAGGGGCACTTACTCGTGAAGCTACAATCAGATCCGCGCACAGAAAGGTCGGGGGGTGTGTGTGTGGGGGGTGAGGGGGTGGGGGGGGGTAAGCGGTCAAACCCTGTGCCGTCTGCAGCCCCGGGGAGTGTGGGGGTGTGGGGGGGTGTGGGGGTGTGTGGGGGGTGTGTGGGGGTGTGTGTGGGGGAGTGTGGGGTGTGGGGGTTGGGGGGGGGGTGTGGGGTGTGTGGGGGTGTGTGGGGGTGTGGGGGCTGTGTGGGGGGGTGTGCGGGTGTGTGGGGGGTGTGGGGGTGTGGGGGGTGGGGGTGTGGGGGGTGTGGGGTGTGTGGGGTGTTGGGTGTGTGGGGGGTGTGGGGGTGTTGGGGTGTGTGGGGGTGTGGGGGTGTGGGGTGTGGGGGTGTGGGGTGTGTGGGGAGGTGTGGGGGGGGGTCTCCACTCTCTGCTCTCTCTCTCTCTCTCTGTAGCTTCCCATGAGTTCCCCAAGCGATCGCGCAGAAGAGAAGCTGGAGACTGTTATCCAGGTGAGCCTTTTTAATTGCCTTTCTCGCCTCAACGTTTGCGATCAACACATCAACAAACAAACAAAAAAAAATCAAAAAAAAAAAAATCAAAAAAAAAATCAAAATAAAAAAAAAAATAAAAAAAAAATCAAATCAAAAAAATATATACATGTGTTAACGTTTCACCGAGAGGGTGTCCTTGTGCTGTCTGTCTGTCTGTCTGTCTGTCTGTCTGTCTGTCTGTCTGTCTGTCTGAAAACTGGACCTGAACACCTGCAAACATATATGCAGCGGAATTTGGATTAACTGTTAAACGGCGATGATCATCTGTTTGTAGGGTTTGGTATTTGTTGTTGTTGTTGTTGTTGTTGTGGGTGTTTTTTTTTCTCTCCCCCTGAAACGTTTCCTTGTGGCTAATCGCCTCCGGTTGATGGGCATTGAAGCTTCACTTTCACTGTTAGCGCAGGGATTTATTTGTGGACGGGATGAATGCAGAATCTTTTACTCAATGATGATAATACTAATAATAATACTACTACTAATAATAATAATAATAATCCGTGCATTCGGGCAGATGAGGAAGAAAAGAGGGTTTGGGGTAAACATTGAGATCAGAACGATTGATGTTTACCAGTGAGAGGTGCAGGGGATTTGAAGGCACTGGACTAGTGGTGCCACACACACACACAAGTACTAATGTGTAGTTTATTCACACAAACACACACACAAACACACACACACAAACACACACAAACACACACACACAAACACACACACACACACACACACACACACACACAATCACCACACACAAACACACACAAACACACACACACACAAACACACACACACACAAACACACACACACACACACACAAACACAAACACACACACAAACACACACACACACACACAAACACAAACACACACACACACAAACACACACAAACACACACACATACACAGCACAAACTGCCAGTCTCTGAAACTCCACCCTTTCACTTTCCAAACTGAACCAACTTTTCTTGCAAACTATACCACGATGACACACCTTTCCAAAACACAGACTCTCTGGATCAATATTGTCCGCTGAAGCATCGATGCTTTTACGTGAACCCTTCGATGCCGTTGGTGTTGTCATAAATCCATGCTGGGTTTATCATGATAATGGTTTAAAAATACTGGAAAATAAAGGCCACCCGCCACCCGAACAATAACCGTGTTCTTAGTACAGTACGGTACTGCTGTAGCACGTGTTTATCTTGAGTTGTTTTAAGACCCATTTCAAACAAATAAATACCTTCGATGGCAAAAGTGCCGCAGTATTATCTGATGTGATCGGCTCTGACCGTAAAGTTATAAACGGTCTGAACTGCCTTCACTTCCACCTGGAAGAGCAGTTTGTTTTGAACCCTTCAGATCTGACCGTACCCAACAGTCTCAGTTGATTGACCGGCCAACTGTGACTGTTGAAATGGAAGACGTTTCTCCCCAACTCCTTCGGAATTCAGATCTAACCTGGTGATGGCTCAGCAAGGAACCAGCAAACAACCTGTAGTACTCCAACTAAACTGGTGACTTAAAGCTGCCAAGTCAGCGTAAGAGTGACACGAAACTCAGACCTCCCCATCTTACATGGCTCAGTTACACTCTTCCCAAACCGAGTAATTGGGGAGCTCTGATCATCCGTTTAAAATGAAGCAAATTTTGTCAAGCTGTTGTAATTAGTGGAACCGGTATGTTACTACAAGTGGTTTCAAATCACATTGAGGGATAATGAGTATTTGAGAAGTTTTGAGTTGATTTGTTTCCTACACGTTACACAAGTCGATTTATAGCAGCAAAAGGGATGTAGTTTTACACTGAAATATTTCCCACTGCGGGTGAATACTTTCTTTCATGCATTAAAGTTATGGTGGATCTTGATACAGTAGTTGAAATATGGCACAATGGACAAGCTGAACCTGAAGGGCCGGACTTTGGAAGTGTAGGAGACAGAAATCACACACAACTAAGAACACCATGAGTTATGACGGATTGGCCTAAGTGAGTGGTCCTTCATTCTCTCTCCTTCAATGTGGAGTAACCACTGTCCTCCATTCTGTCGGCTTCTCTGGCAACACAGCTTGAGATCAGAAATTTGTCCATTGAAAAAATGGGACACAATGACATGTGCATGCGACTGCCAAGATGGTGGGAGGTAAACTGTGTGGAGCTTGGTCTTTTTTCGTCTAGCAACTGTTCAGTTCAGTTTCAACCTGCAAATCGTAAACAGTTTTTGCAGAATTAACCATTTTGATGAGAGTCAACCTGAATGAAAGTTTATCAGTATGCTGGTATTGCTCCGTGACAAACTTTGCAGAACGATTCTCAGACCCTTTTGGATATCTAGGAAACTAATGTAAGCGACTTGGGATGCCCTCCCTATATGAATGCACAATATAAATGTGAATTTGTGTTGTACTGTTTTTCTTTGGTCACATGCAGAAATCCATCACCATGCTTAAGAGTATCCAAATCAAACCAAAAATTCCATGTATCTCACCTACACATCTAGCGATAGATTGTTGGAATGAAAGGCGCACTCCCTCCCCAGAGGGACGTATCCTGCTTACCTAATTCTTGATCGTTGGAGGTGTCTAATTATGTTCTCAACCGTGTGCCACATTTCACTGTTTTTCTGATGTCTTGTTTCAGAAACTAGAAGACACTGTCCTAAACCCAGAGGTAAGTGTAGAGGACAAGAGCCTGACTCTCCGTGGAGAAGGAGAAGGTGGCACACCGACTCCAGTACCGGCCCGAATTCGGCAAATTGTTACCAGGAATCTAACAGAGGAAAGAAGAGAAGGTAACGCTTTTACACACAGGCAGAAACAATACTGCATTATGTTTAGGGGAGTCAAAACTCGAGAGACTGTTTTATTGGAAATGCAGGAGCACTTTTTTGTAATAGCCACCCTTTGGACAATTTTTTTGTTCACCTCGTAAGCTTTTACGATAATGTACAGAACTTAATTCAGTATTACGTTTGTGTAATTTTTAAAAAAATCATATTATCCACATTACATGAGAGTTCTGAATACCAAATCAGAAGTGTCCAGTTAAGATTGTACTGTGCTTTCAATGTGTACACTCAGTGCAATTTTACATTGTTCTGCTGAAAAGCTACACCATCTAACTAGCCGAGGTCCTAATACATTATCAGGTTTAACATTAGTTCTGTGTTGATGCCTCAGATAAAGATGCTTCTAGCAAGTCCAGAACCCTGCACATCACCATTACCTTGGACTGATACATTTCCAGCAAAAACATTTGCTTCTGCCATGTATTATTCAGGAAACAATTGTCCAGTTGATTAAATCGATCATTGGAATTAGCATTGCTCTGTTGTTTGCTCTTCTGGACATCCTTTTGCAATGGATTTTATTTTTTTGGTCAGCCAGGTATCTGACAAGTGGGGAAATCCATTGCCCTGTTTAAGATTATCCAAACCAAACTGAGAATTCCATGCATCCCACCTACACATGGAAATCCCAGAGATAGATTGTAATGGAATGCGCACTGTCTTCCTGGAGGGATACATCCTGCTTGCCTAATTCTGGAAAGTATCAGGCACAGGTTGGCAAGAGATAAGGTTTGGGGACCATAGAATGTGCATTGGGGCACTGCTGGAGTCAAACCAGCTCAAACAGCACAGGTTGACATTGATGGCATTTGTATGCACAACAGAGTTGTGTTTTGGTACTGGGGAAACCAATGGCTCCGTCCTTATGTTTGGATTTCTGATCTCTTTGTGACTTCTGTGCATATGATATGAAGAGTGAGGAGGAGAGATTTGGATAGATCCTATCATTGCCCTTTTATACATTTAAAATTTGGCTGCTCTCAGGAAAGTGTCATTCCTATACTAGATTCCAAGGTTTCACTCATCCAGGTTTGTGCTGGCAGTGCTATCTGCAAGCATATTTCGCAGTACATTTCAGCAATTGTTCACTTGAATGGGTATTGTAATTGAAGTATTTGAAAAACTGAACTTGTTTAAACCTAAATTGGCTCTGTAATATCTTTTAATGTGACTTCTCAATTGCACCAAACAGTCAACCTTGTAAATTACCTGCTGAAGCATTCATGCTTCCATGACTACTCAAGCAAACAATCGTACTAGCTACTTAGAGCAGGGCAGACTGTGCAAACCACATGGTACTAATATGAATTTACCTTGCAATTCAATTGGAAATCTTTCATGTCAAATAGCTATGTATACTACAAGGCAAATTGTGACACCAGTGTTAATTAGTAACTGAATAGCTATCGTCTTGTCATTGAGCTCACTGTAGATAGTCCAAATAATTGATATTAATTTCAGAAGTGTACCCAGGATGAATGGAACATCGATTTACATGGAGTGATTCCCGTACAACTTACACCACAATACACTCTGGGAGTGATTCCCTGCCCTGTAGGTTTCTCTTTATGTTACATTTTAGAGTTAGAGTTCGCAAATTGTTGAAGTTAGTTTTGAACTTGTTTTTCTGTATGTTTTATTAGCACCTCCGGAAAAACAGCTTCAAAAGTAAGGCTGTAGTTAAGAATTTGCTAAAAACTCTTAAAGGCTGCATAAATCCAAATCCAGGTGAAATTTCTCACCCCTGCCACTTAAAAATTCTGAAGTATTGAACCAGCCTAATTGATGGTGAAACCAAAGTTTAATAGTTTCAGCCAGCCTGGCCCATTGGCATCACTGGGGGTAAGGAATCATCCCATCAGCTCCTGTTAACCCTCAAAGCCCTAACAGGTAGAGTTGCCCTAGCTGGACAAGCAGCGGGGATCATGTGCAAGCAGAGAAGTTGCCATCAGTAGACAGTGTCAGTTATCACTTTAACTCTCTTGTTTTCCAATTGACCAGTGCCACAGGACATGAGTTCCCTGGTGAGTCTTCGAGAAGAGAATCGTATGTTGCAGGAGGAACTGTCCCGCATGGAGGACCTGTTGGCACAGAGCCACGCTGAGCGAGACGAGCTTGCTATCAAGCAGTGTGCTGTCAGTGAACGGGTAAGGACTGGCACTGATGTCTCTGAGCTCAAGCCCTTGCCTTTAAAGATAACATTGGCTCAGAGACGACCTGTTTTCTTCAAATGAGCTGTTGAGAACCAATGCGCAATAAGGTGTAGTTAGATTCAAAATATGAATCCACATTTAAGCACGTTCAAATAAACGCCATTAGAACCAAACTGACCAGCAGTTTTTTACTTGAATCAGACGCAAAGAGTTTCATAGGTTTCAACTGACCCAAATTGTCCACTTTGGTCAGTGTTTGTTTGACTTTGCCTGATCCATTTGAACCCTCTTTTCCAGCCTCTCCCCTCCCCAAACAACACAACGCTCACATTGAATCCAATTTCTATATCTACATTCGTGTGTCGTATTGTTGAGGAGACGTGCAGCCTATCTGCTCCACTTTCTCCCTTTTTGCATCTCAAAAGACTTCGGTTTTAATTCAGAGAGGAGCAGAATTGGTGGTAATAATAAAAATAATAATCCTTGCTTTGGTATAACACCTTTTAAGATTATTGAGACATCTCCAAAGCGCTTCTCAGAATGTATTCGTGCTATGTTGGCCTGTATTCTGTCCTTAGCTCCTATCACTACGTGATATTCAAGTATTGTACCAATGAATCTATAGACAATCCAACCTTGCTTCAATCGGCTGATTCAGAACTGGTCATTTCAGAGTTGTATGTAACACATGTCTGCTGAACTATAGATGAGCAACTTTGAACAGTGTAAAGTTTAAGTGTGAAACTGAACTTGTCATTGCTGAACTTCACTGAAACAGGGGTGTCGTTCCCATCCATTGCCAGCTGGGGGCACTATTGCTGCACCTCATGCCGGTGCAGATTGCCTTGCAATTTGTTAAGTGTTCTGTTAAGTCTGAAACATCCAGCGAACAGTTTAACCCTGGATCACATGCCTCAGTATGAAACTTTCCTGTATAATTTCTGCAAGCTACTTCACTCTGCATCTCACTGTGCTGCGCATGTAACTATGCCTGTAGACTGGATTACTTCGGTGGCAGCGCAGTTCCTGAAAACCTTATGAACACAAACAAATGAATGTGCATGATATGTGCTGTGAACCTCCAAAACCCTTGGCTTCCTGAAGCCTTAGTTGGTGGAAGCCTTACAAACCAGAGAAGGTCCCAGGCGTTAACCCTAATCTTTCCTGAGGTTGCTGATCTTAGCCGGGACAGCAGTGGGTCCGCTGTGGCCAGTGACAGTGTTACTGGATCAGAAAGTGGGGCTATTTCAGCCAGGATACAGTGTAGTGTGTGCCAATGTTCCTGCACCTAGTGACCCTTACTTGTTTAAAGGCTGTTTGTGGGTCATGGCTGCGCTCAAATTGGCTGCTGCGTTTTGAGACATCCTCCCGATTATCATTTATTACAGGAAGATGAAAGTGTGAAGACAGGTTTATAATAATAATAATAATAATAATCCTTGCATTTGATATAGCGCTTTTCACGTCTTCTAGATGTCCCAAAGCGCTTCACAGAATATACTGTAAAGTTTGGACGCAAATGCGATTTCTCCCTTTATCCCTTCTCCCCACCCCCCCCACTCCCCCTTGTCCCCTCCTCTTCAACACTCAATGAGCCCAGGGAAAAAAAAAGAGTGTTTTGGGGAAGCGAGCTACCAGATATGGTTTGTACCAGTGGAGCTGTGTCTCAGTTTGAGTCAGTGGCATGGGAAGGGGAGCGAGTAAAATGTTTTTTTAAAAGCTTTTTAAAATGATCCTGGAGTGCAAGGGGACACTTTCAATAGAAACCCGTTAGACACACAAAGCAGAGTACCAGACCCCCGACTCTGTATTGACTGCAGTGCTCGCAGCCACAGTGTGGTTTAGTTTTGGTGAACCACTGGACTGTGTGTGCCATGTATCCTGTGTGTACACATTTTTCACATATCCCCCGCTCGTAGTGGCCGCAGAACTCTCACGGCATGTTTGAGGGGAAAGGGATGGGGAGGAGGTGGGGGTGGGGGGTGTTGGGGGGGTGGTGAGCTGGCGTGGAAAGAAAAGCGTATGGAACTGATTTTGTGTGGCAGCAGCAATACGGGGTGGAGGTACTGGTGTTTTCACAGATGTGCTGTATAAAAGGGAGGATTGTGAGGCGACCACTGCTGCAGTAAATTACCTGTGCTGGATGGGAGCGTTGCTGGCATACTCCAGGGGCCAAGGGACAAGTGAACCCATTGTGCAGCTGTGAATGTGAGCTATCAGCCCGAGGTGGAATGTCAAACACCCCTCCGTCACCTCCCCTGCCTGTCCTGTCAGAGACCCCCTCGACGACCCGTGTTCAGAGGGTAAGAGCTGAGGAAAAAGTCTGTACTCTGTGGTGGAGAAAGCAGAGGTCTGTGTGCAGCTTCGCAGCTCCTGAACCTTTTCTGTAAAGTAACTCTTTAAGGTCTGAGTACTCTGCGTATAAGAGATTAACACTGGCCTGTGGACTAATGAAAACCCAAGAATGGCACCTTTAAGGCCATCCATGGCCTTGCCCCCTCCTACCTCTCTGACCTGCTGACTCCCTACCAACCTGCCCGCTCCCTCTGTTCATCGGGCTCCAGGCTGCTCCATGTCTCCCGCCCGACTCGCCCTACCATCGGTGGCCGGACTTTCAGCCTCTCTGCCCCCACAGTCTGGAACTCCATCCCACAGTCCCTTCCTCTCGCTTCCTCCCTTGCCTCCTTCAAGGCTGGTCTCAAGACCCTTCTCTTCAACCGTGCCTTTGGTCTCCCTCCCACCTCTCTGCCTTCCCTCACCCCTACACCACCCCTCCCCTATGCTCGGGCCCCGACACCTGACCGTTCAGCGCTTTGGGACGTCCTCCCGACGTGAAAGGCGCTCTATAAATGTAATTTTGTTGTTGTTGTTGGCAGCGCACTCCTTCAGCTCCTGAGGAATTCAGAACAGTATTTACAGTAAACACTGTGAAATGACTGTGTTTACACCTGGAAATATCACGTCTGGCTCATTATAACACCCCTCCAATTATCTTCCCCCAGTGTTGTGTGCTTGCTTTTGTGAATAGCGTTAGGATGATCTTTAAGAAGAGCCAGCACAGGCATGATGGTGATTTAAATTTTGATGGTTTTATGTCAGTGTGTGTAACAGTTTCCCATACTAGATATTTTAGCATGTACCTCAGCTACTCTCGGATAAGTGCAGCATAGCCAGCTCTGAGGAATTCTCCTTCTCTGTCCCCAACAATCTGCCTTTGTTTTAAAACTCAGTGGAACAGTCCTATTGCGCCAAAATGACATTTTCAGCATCCGTGTGGCCTTGTGAGGTTACTCTTCAAGGGGAGTTTAATGATATGGGCGCTCAGCCTTTGACACACAAGAATTTCCAAAAGGAAATTGTATGCTCTCATTTGTATGTAGTGTTTGTATGCATCTCAGTCATAGTAATTGTGTGTTTGTGTGTGTGTATATATAAAAATATATAGCTACATACACACACAAGTATACTGGAAATGGTGTAGACCTCCTAGATATACCTTCCTGTGAAATGGTGCTCTACACAGCTTTTGACATCTCCCATGTCAGGTAATAGGTAATGGGTTCAACTGTGTCTGCTTTTTGCAGAGTTTCTCTTTTTATTTCCTTTTGTCTTGCTCCTCATCCCTCTGTTGTATTGACATTTTATGTTGAACAGACTCTGATGTAAGTTTCCAGCACTGATTGTGTTAATGTGCAGAGTGGAGTTCTGACAACCAAGCGTCACAGAGATGTCAGACAGTGCTAGGGGACTGCAAGCTGTCACTTGTTAATGTACTGGTTAGTCATTGCTGGACTCTTCTTGCATTCCTCATAGTAACCAGCTCAGTCCGAGTATTGGGGGGCTCGGGGGAGAGAGGAGAGCTTAGGACCAGCCCAGCCTCCTCACTTTCTCTGATGCCGTGGATGAGTAGGTTGGGAGATCAAGGACGGACATTTTCGTACAGAGTCAGAATGGATTCCCATTTAGACTTGAGACAATTCCTGACCATCCCATAATCCTGACAAGAATGGTTGGAGAATGAACAAGTCGTCAAGAGATACTGCAATGTAGATCACTTGTTTTGCCTGTACCTCCAGTCAGATAATTTTCACACTCCTGTGCTTCTCCAGAAGGCAACAATGTATATTTGAGTTATGGTTCTGCAGATGCCACTGGCTCTCCAGCATATTGGCCAAGCAGCCATTCTACATTTGTGGCTCTAAATAATGTATGTCAACAGGCTATGCAATGGAAGGCAGTCATCGCAACCAGACCCAATTCTGTCCTTGCCTTCCAGCTATATATGTGCACTTTCCAGCAAGAGTAGTCATAGGAGAGCAATAGAAGGAGGGGAGATGTGTGTAATTTTGCCCAATTCAAGCATCACCATCTTGGCTATAATGCTGCTTCACATGACAAGTAAAATTGCAGTGGAGACTATTTTTTCCGAGTCATAGGAAAATTAATTTTATGGGAAAGGCTTTTCCAGTGGCACATGCCAGTGAACAGCTGATGGCTGAAGTCAGCATATAGCTTTATCCAGACACTACTATCCTTCAAAACCACAGGGGGGAACCACGTCAAGAATCATCAACTAACTTCAAACAGATCATTTCTCAATTTAGCTCAGCTCAGATCCGTATCGAAGCAGAAAACAAATTGGATCTTCATGGTACTGAACATGCCATCACGATAACACAGCATAATTTTCCTTAACCACCGTTAAAAGTGTGTGCGGGTATGACGGGGTGGAGGGGGAGAGAGAGACACATACAAACAGACATGATTTCCATACCACTTAATTGCCTTGACGTCGCAGAGCTTTTAACGGGAGCCTGTGGACATCTGAAGAAGCCTGAATGCAAAGCTGAAGGTGGAAGGGTTAATAGGTGCTGTTTATTCATCAAACCTGGAGTTGAACTGTGCAAATATTGTCATATTTACTGCAACTGCCATGCTACAGCATTCCAACAGGACTAATAAGGGAAGCAAATTAATGACCTGAGAATCTTAAT